AACCGTTAATTATTCGTAAATGGAGTCAATTTGTGTAGTTTTCTGCGTTAATTCTGCAGATATAGGTAAAATATAGGCAAGACTTTGGCGAAATTTGAAAGAGCAACTAATATTCTTCAACCTGGTATTTTTTTTATAGATTTTATTTTTCATTCGTTCGTCTGTTTTTTCCAGTTTAAAAAAATATGAGCTGGCTGGAGCCTTCATCCCTTGTCTATTTCTTACACTAGATACTAGCCGATACCCCCCCCCCCGCTCATAGGGAGTGCGTACAGTTGATCATAGTTCCTGTGCTCCCTGTGGTCGGAGAAGAAGATTTTTAAATTCATGTGGCCTACTTATATACATCATTTGGGCAATTGCATAGTATGATACAATATGATCTTCAATATTGTATATACTGTGGTTATAGAAGGTGAATTTCTTGCCTTGGTGACTGAATTTTGGTTGAACTTGTTTTGATAACCAGTCCAGAAGGGTAGAACCTGAACATGTAGATAATTTTGTTGCGCTGGTAAAATAGTCACAACTGTGGTGTTCGGCATGCAATTTAGGTTTCCATATGGCAAAGCTCTAAAAAATGAATGGATATTGTAATCTTGTATGTGGATGCTGATGTTCTTGGGGTGGGGGTCTTGAAATACAACTCTGACTAAATCCTTCAAAAGTATGAGAATTTCGCCAAAATATATATCTTTCGATAGTACTTTAAGTTAGATCAAGATAATTAGAATTTTGTTTAGTATGTTTTACTTGGATATAGCTCCGCGATACGCCTGAAGCCAAAGCCTGTCCATTATAACAAATTATTTAAAGAAACATTAGGCCTGCAAGTGCCCACAAACATAGTATTCAGTCCCTGCCTCAAATCGAGAAAATTCTTGTCATAGGAAAAAGTGACACATGTCGTCTCGAAATCTGTGTTTATTCTTAAATTAATACTCCACAAGTCGACTTTAATAAGTGCGCGGTTTTATGTCAAACGTTGACAATCCTGTGACAGGTATTTTCTCAAGTCAAATAGACGGACAGATTTGTTAGAAAAGAAGTAAACTGAGAGTGAGAGTAATGGTCAATTTGTTCAAAAATAATACAAAACAAAAATTAACTTCGATATAGTGCTGCAAAAAACTGAATCAGATATGAACTCAATTAAACATACTCACATTAACTGTTTAACCTAGGTTTGAATCGAGTGTGTACTGTTTTAGCCTCACTAAATATTTAAAAAAAATGTATAACGTGTTCAACCGTAAATATACCAAAATAGAAAATGTAAAACATGTAGAAGATCAAAATTAATTGTCATTAGGGAAAATTAGTTTGAAGAAAGTGACCTATGAACATTGGTCTCATCTTTGTGCAAACTTGCATTTATGAGCTACACATTATCGTAAAGCCAAATATACTTCATCTTCGCTAGCCAAGGTCTAAGTTTATTCGGCCAAGCCTCTAAGTAGTCAGTTGCGGCTAATCATTGTTCAATCAGTTTGCGTGTTACAAATCCCTCTTTGGCGTTTTATTTTAAACAAAATAGCGGCACCCATGAATCGTGATATTTTTGATGATAAAATTGCGAAAGTTTTCGGTATTGGTGCCCTCAAGCCTCATCAGGTACAGGCAACCGACGCAGTTTTGTGTGGGAAGGATGTTTTCATAGCGACAAAAACAGGAAATGGAATTTTGTTTTATAATTCGGTACGTCCAAGCTGATTGGGCGCCTTGTTTCGAGGCGCGCCCAATCAGAACTCACTGCTTAAGATACGCAATTAGCCTATGCGATCCCGCACGGTATGGTGTAGAGGCCTATATGTCGAAGACACGGGACCGTGCGATTCGGACGATGAATAGACTTATTGACATTCAATTTCGAATTTTCGGTTGCTTATTTGATCCGATGATGCCCTCTATAGTTGAGAGTAGTTTCGTTATTTCCAATTGCCTTTTTAATGCAGAGGACGCTATTACAAAAGTAATGGATACTGATTAGCTTGTTCGGTGTATTCAAATGAAGTCTATTGACAGCTGTCTGATATATTATGCAGCATCAAAATAATCCTGTGACTTGTTTTTAAAAGCCACTTACTGTGTGGCTCACACTTTGATATTTTTGGCGCGACAGCCACTATGTGGTTTTGATTAATTGTTCCTGGTTTTTTTAAATATGCAAATTGTTTCTGTTCTCTGATCACTGAAGTGCCACTGTCATACTGGCGAGGGTTGACCTGGATTTCAGTCACAGTGGAGAAAATGTTTTGACATCTTTTGCAATATACAATGTTGACTACATTGAACGGCATATGTCTTGTAGACAAAAACTATATATTATAGATACTGTAAAACATGTTGAAAAAGCGGCATGCAATTTTAGCGAATTGTGGTAAAATGACGTAAAAGCTAAATGTTGATTTAGCAAATCTCTATTGTCATTGTTGATTTCGTTAATAATAATAACTTTATTACACTACTATGCCATCAGAGGGCGCAGTATGGTAAATAAAATACAAATCATAAGAAAAAAATACAGTAGCTAAACTATAAGATAAAATTAAAATTAAAAGATGTTAAAAGCTTAATAGGAAAAACAAATTTATGATAGTTACAGGATTCTCCCAATGTAGAGGTGATAGCTATCATATACCTGATTTCTGTTTTGCCTTATTTAAAAACTTTGCCAGGGGTATGAAGCACGTCATTATTTTAATGGAATTGTCTGTTTTATTTTTAATTCCTATTTTAATTCCTGTTTCTTGGAACAGCTCCCCTCTTTCTTTATCGAGAAATTCACAATCTAGGATAAAATGTTGTTTGTCCTCAACTGAATTTAATAGTATGACATTTTTACAAAATCTCTCATCCGCAGGAATTTTTGGTCGTTGTTGTCTGCCTTTTTCAATTTCTAAATTATGATCACTAAGCCTAAATTTACTCACAATTCTCCGAAGGCTGAAGTTTGTTATTTCGGTCAGGTAAGTTTCTATTTTCAAAAATGATTTAAACAATTTATATGTTCTCATTTTATTGCCATCTTTACCATTTTCACTGTGAGGAGAATTTAAGCTTTCTTTCCATAATTTTTCATAATCTTTTGTGAGTTTTATTTTCACAACATTTG